GCCCCTAAAAATGTGCTGCCCCAAGCACCAGCTTGTTTTGCTGGTGCCTAGAGCCGGCCCTGGATGCCTGGAACAATGTTAATGGAAAAACCTACCAATAAATAAGACTCACAGAATATTCAAGTTCCATTTTATGGCCTTCTGCTGAAAATTCATGTATCATTTGCTTTTTTTCTCTTAGCATCAATGAAACATCAGCTGGAGAATTGTATTGCACATTGCCTCTCACGGCTTGCCATATACTATTGTAATTTATATTTAACATTCTGCTTTTAAAAAAAATGTAAAACAGTTGGTGGGATGTTTATGCAACATACCTTCTACTATGAAAAATATTTGTAAGTAGTATTAGGTTATAAGAAAATAGGAGGGAAAGGGTTATTGTGTATATGTCCCTTCTCCAGGACTGCACACATAATCTCCAGGACTGCACAGGACTGGACTCGATGACCTTTCAAGGTCCCTTCCAGTTCTATGAGATAGGTATATCTCCATATATAATGTACATAGATACATACCTAATATTTGATTCTTTATTATAGTTTCAACCAATTTGCCTGGTACCAAAGTCAGGCTTACTGGCCTGTAATTGCCATGATTGCCTCTGGAGCCTTTTAAAAAAATAACTGCTATATTAGCTACCCTCTAGTCATCTGGTAGAGAGGAAGATTTAAGAAATAGATTACATACCAGAGTTAGTAATTCTGCAATTTCATATTTGAGTTCCTTCAGAACTCTTGGGTGAATGTCACCTGGTCCTGGTGAAATTACTATTTAATTTATCAATTTGTTCCAAAACCTCCTCTAATGACACCTCAGTCTGGGTCTGCTCCTTAGATTTGTCATCTAAAAAGAGTGGCTTGGGTGTGGGGATCTCCCTCACATCCTCTGCAGTGAAGACCGAAGGACTGACATACTCACAAGAAGGGGTGAGCATAACCTTAGGGGAGAGAGCATAGAAGGCTTTTAATTGTGTTTCCTAAAGATCTGTAAGTTGTGTATGCTTTGAGAGTAAAAGTTACTGTGGTATTAGAAACTCCTGTGCAAAGGCCTGTGCTCCTTATTTTATCTGCCATATGGTCCCTGAGTAGTTACATTATAAACCAGAGCATCCATGGATATGGTGCTCTGGGGGAGTATGCATATGCGACTGGGGAGACTTGGGAGGTCTGAGCCACTGACCCACATCCCTAGGAAAGGGGTTAGACATGGTATCTGCACCTATGAGTATACCAATAGGCCCAGAGCTAGAAAGAGTGACCAGATGCTGCCTAGGCTCAGATGGCTTGGAAACACACGCGATCCAAAGCCTGGGTCCAATTACAACAGACTGGTGACTGTCCACCAAGGGGACTCAGCCAGGTCCGTAACAGAGAATGTGCTTTACCCGAAGAAGCCGAGCTCTTTTTTCCCTTTACTGCTTTGCTCGTCTCTTGAGACTACCTGAATCCGTGTCTAGATTTGCTGCTTCTACCACCCATGGAGCTTCCCTATACAGTTAACCGGCTGTTTTTGCCTACAGAGCGTTTAAAGCAAATATCATGTGGATGAGAATAGGCAGAAAATGATAAATCTTCAAACAGATACAATTACAGTATCACAACTGTGGAAAATTCGCTCCACAACATGGCAATTAAAAATATAAATATATCTGCCTGGTGGACGCAGCTGAGCTGGCCTTTCAGGTGAGATACTGGGCAGTGCCTTTTGAGAAGACCCTTGCTCTAGTCTTATCACTAACTGTGCACTAAGAACTGGCTTGCCATGTATACTGTACCTCACAAACACTGTGCATAATTATTAAAGGGTCCGATTCTGCTATCCTTGTTCTCATTGACCAGTTCCTTACTCCTTGAGCAGTACCACTGATTTTAACGTGAACAAGGGTAGCAGATTTAGGCTTTAATTTATCAATAGATTCTTATTAATTCATTTTAACCAGATAACATTGGAAAATTGGAGTTAATTAGCCAGATCAGGTTCTGTATCTGAAGCGGATGATTTTTTTAGTTGTGGTGGATGCCACATAGTATATTTTACTATGCATTTCTCAAAAGCCAAAAGAACAAGGATTGAATCCTACCAAACTCCATGTCCCATTTATCCACCGAGTACAAGGCTGCCCATTGCAGTGTGCCGTGGAGTTAGGCTTTTCCGTCCAGTCACAATAGTCCTCTTCTGGGCAGTAGACGTGTCTTTCTTGCAGACCACCACCACATGTTTTCGAACACTAAAATAAAACAGCACACAAGAAAAGAGTAGAGAGAAAGCAATTTCGGGTGGTCAACAAAAATATAAACAAGCTGCAAAGGAAGCAGAGAACACATTTATTTGAGAAATGCACAATCACTGAACAGGTAGCAAGAAACATTTATCTGAAATAATTTATGACATTATCAAATATAGTTTAGCACATATATCAAGTCTGATGACCCAAAGATGAAGGTAACTACTGCAGTAACATATTTATCTAATCTTTTATAATGACCCGGACAGGGAAGGGGCTGTTATTAATCTGGAGTATGAGGCAGAATTTTATTAATAAATTCACTCCTAACATTCATAATGAAAGCAACATAATATTACTCAGATTTAGAGTAGGGACAATGATTCATGTCATAATGTCAGAAAGCAAGTCACGTTTCTGCAGGCTTAATCTGAAATATTAATGTACAAGTTTTGCTCACTGGGACAAATTTATGAGATGCAACCTCTCACTTTCATGAGGCTGCTTGGGGATATTGAAAATCCATACAGCACATACTAAACATTTAGCTACAAAAATGGCAATAAACAAGCATCATACAGAAACATGGACTGAGGATATTTTTAAAACTTTCTTTCCAAACCTGTTTTTAAAAGTGATCATGGTTGTGGTTGGGGCATCTTGAAATGCACCAAAGGCTTGATACATGACTGGGAATATAAGGGGACAAAAATACTTTGGATAAAATGTTGTTCTTGAGCTTTCATGAAACTTCCTCTATCTGATGGTCTGCTTTCTGTAAACGGAGCTGCTCTCTCCCTTTAGGATAAGCAGAATATCAGAGTTGAGGACCAACTTGCAGGTCTGATATCAGAATTTTATCCTTAAATCACAATTTGGAGTGGTGTGTCACAATATCTCCAGTGTGAAAAGAGCAGCCATGGACAAACAAGAGGGTTTAGTAGATTTATTAGATAGGCTAATGTTGAAATTTTTTTGCCAACCCCTTCCTCCTCCAAAACAAAACAAAACAAAACAAAACACACAACTTTGGTGGTATAAATAAAATATAACCTGTATTCAAACCACACATTGGATTTGGTTTTGCAAAACTAAATCCAGCAAATGAGATTTTTACAAAACTAAAACGAAACCTCTGCAGCCCCTCTCTTATTTTAGGCTTGGATTTTCAACAGATCCTATGGCAGTTAGATACTCAATTTCAATTCCACAATAACACATGCACAATTTCTTTATTAATACAAGATACCCCAAAGGTGTTAACCCTAATTCAATAAGATCTAATTTAATTCAATAAAGTTTATCTTACTTCCATAAGGTTTGTTCAGGATATTGTCAGTCATAGGCACCTCTCAGACTGGGATAGAGACATGGCAGCTGCGACCTGGCTGATGCTGCTCATGCCTGTTGCCATAGCGGCAGATTCCCCATATGTAGACTGTTGCTTCTGGAGCAGGGCCACAAGCACAGACTGGTGGGCCTAGGATGACCAGCAGTGGGTCCAGAACTTTTGCAGAAAGAAGCAGACATTCCTGGAGCTTTATGAGCCACTTGTCCCAGCCCTCCAGTATCAGGACCCACACATGAGGGCGGCTCAGGGCTGGCGCAACCCATTAGGCGACCTAGGCGGTTGCCTAGGGCGCTGCGATTTGGGGGCGGCGACCTCGGCGGTATTTCCGCGGCGGGACCTTCCGCCGCCTCTGTGGGGGGCGGCATTTCGGGGCAGCGGAAAAGCTGGCAGCACTCCTGGGGAGGCTATGCCAGTCTGGAGGCAGGTTGCTATAGCCATCTGGAAACTGGCTATCCCATTGTGCTACAAGTCCCTGGCTAACCAGTTTGGTGCTGGAAAGTCAACTCTGGGAGTTGTGGTGGTGGAGGTTTCTGAAGCAATCAGGACTATGGTTTACCCAAAGGTGGTGGGTATAAATACAGTTCCTGAAATAACTACCAGATTTAAGAGAATGGGCTTCCCAAATTGTGCTGGGGCTTTTCATGGGACTCATATACCCATATTTTGTCCTCTGCCAGGAGCACATGAGTGCATAAACCGCAAAGGGTTCTATTCCATCATTATGCAGGCCCTGGTTGACCACTGAGGTTGGCTCATGGGTATACACCAGCAGGGCCGGCTTTAGGCCAATTCCCCCGAATAGGGCCCCGTGCCCGCGCCTAAGAGGGCCCCGCGCCTTAGGCGCCTTTTTAATTTAAATTATTTTTTACTCACCCGGCGGCGGGTCTTCGGCAGCACTTCGGCGGCGGGGGGTCCGCTCCGGGTCTTCGGCGGCATTTCGGCGGCGGCGGGTCCTTCAGTGCCGCGGAAGACCCGGAGCTGAGTGAAGGACCCCCCGTCGCCGAAGTGCCACCGAAGACTCGGACCGCCGCCGGGTATTCGAATTGGGCCCCGCAGGTCCTCAAGCCGGCCCTGTACACCAGCAAACTGCATGATGCCAGGGTTTTCCAGAGATTGGGATTTTACCTTCATGAACAAGCTGTGGCATTATTGTCTATAAATCACATTTTTATGCAGGAAGTCACTGCACCCACTGCTTCTGGGGTTATAAGCATGCCATTCCTGCTCAAGAGATCGTCATGCACCACTGGGGGCTGTGTGGTTGGCACGGTTCCCAGCACCTGATCAAATTCCTCACAGAGAGGCAAGTAGACAGGAAGTTCCCTAAGGTGTGGTTCTCATCCTTGGTTTGATAGGCAGTCTTGAGATGCTTGACCCACTCCTGGCATTGATTGGTGGCCTGGTGAATCCCCAATGCTACCAGCCTCTCAGGGTATGTCCATACTGCACACTAAACTTGGGCTCTGACTCAAGTTTGAGCCCAAGCCCCATTTCCAGCCACACAAAGATCAGTCTGATTCATGTGAGCAAGCACTCTGGAGCCAGGTCCTAGGTCCCTGCTGGGAGGTGGGTCATAGCCAGAGTCCCATTATGACTTGGGTCCAAACCCTGTCATTTTGCAGTGTGCATACAGCTCAAACCACAGACCCGAGTCAGACGGTCTGTGTAATGTAGTATGCCTGTGAGACCCGAGTGCAGCAATGGTGAACCCATGTTTACAATGCAGTGTGGACACTCAAGCACATGCTTGGAAACTGAGTCCACAAGCCCAGGTCCACAGAGGCTAATTGTGCAATGTAGACATACCCTTGCAGATTCTTGCATAAATATGCTCATTTCTCGTGCACTTTCGCAAATCACGGGGCTTGCTCTCCTCACACCACAGATTTACCAGAATCCCGCGGTGTTCCTATGGCCAGCTAGCAGCATGCTGGATGTGGGGCTTCTTAGTGATGACCATCGCTAACACAAGATAGAGTTAACTGTGTTTCCAGTTGAGCAGTCCATGTGGAAAGGAAAGGTTAAATGCCAAATAGCTGTATTAGACCCAGGAGGTTGCTTCCTGTTCCTGGGAACAGAGTAGGAAGTTTGGGTATAGAAGCGCTAGGTCACAGAAGTCTAGGGAATTATGGGATAACATTGGCAGACTCTCCAAACATGAGCTTGGCAACCTGGACTTCCACTACATCCAGGCTGCAAAATGAATGGGTTTGGACCAGCGCCAGAGCTGGACACGGGCTCAGACCCATATTCCTGGATGTGTCTACAGGCCTGCATCCTGAGAGGTTTCTGATGTGTGTCAAAAGGCCTTGTATGTGGATGGTAGGGGGGCTTGTGCTTAAACCTGAATCTGAGCCAGGGTTTACTATTCAGTGTAGACATACCCTTACAGGATCTGGTATATATTGTATGCCTTACAGGATCTGGGTATATATTGTATGCCGATCTATGAGTATCTCAGATGTGGTTTACATTTATATTAAGTGATCTGAGATCATAAGCAGAAGCTGCAGATCCTGTGATTAGGTAATAGCTGCATCTCTTCCTTTGAAAGTAAATTGACATAATAGCATGAGCCATAATAGTCACTTTAGTAATTGACAGTTATTGCTTCACTGTAATTGCTTGTTTTATAGGCCAATACCTCATTCCAAGGCTCCAAACGCCATTCGAAGCAGGGCTCTGTATTACAGCTAATGCTCAGTTGTGGTTTATGTTCTAATAATTGGCAGTGAAAAGGCCGTAGAACTCGCTCATTACGAACATCAGTACAGTGAACATCACGGGTCTTGAAACCACCACCACAGTTTGTAGAGCACTGTACACAGAACAGAAAGAAGCATATCTTTAAACCACAGACCTATGACAGGCTAACATTTCCACATTCCAGGGGATCAATGCAAATGTTTGCCTCGTGAAACATGACTGGAATTTCCTGTTCTTCTTAGGAGCAATGTATTATTAGGATGAAAAACTGTTTCTCATCGCAGCAGATCTGAATGTGCCAAAATTATTTCCCTACCATCACTGGAATGCTTGAAACATCCACCAGTAATACAAATGCCTTGTTAATTAGGAAGCCCTGACAGTTGGTTCCAAAAAGTCTCATAGTAAGAGAGTAATAATACATCATAAAAAAATCCCCCACAATTAAACATGCAATAGATTCTAAACTGCTTTGTTTGTCAAGTAAGAAATAAGCCAATCACCATTCAGGATTTGGAGGAAATTCCCACCATCATGTAATGAAAAACAAGGGCATTGTGGGGATGTTACATGTTCCTCTGAAGTGTCTGGTAACATTGGTCAGTGCTGGAGGCAGGATGGACCACTGCTCTGGTACCTTATATTAAACTCCTAGCAACTTGTAGGATCAAGTCCCAAAACAACGAAGCATACGCCTTTAAAAAACAACTGATCTAATTCAGCCTTCTTTATACTGCCCTGCAGTGAAATGCAGCAATATTATTGTGATGGGTGCTTTATAAATGTTTCTAATAATAATAATGACAACAATGAGTAATGAGAATAATAACCGCCACTCTTAAAAATCCACATAGCAAACAAATAGCACCCCCCAAAAACATATTTTTATATATGAGAGTGTAATTTGGTTTGTAGCAATAGATTCCAGGAAAATAACAGGGTGGCTAATATGGCAGGAATTTTTATTACAAAGATTTTTACCTCAAATTAGCCACATAGCTAGACTCATAATCCCTAAAACGTCTCTTGCTTACAGTACTTAATCACTAGCCTTGATTTTTAGTTTCCGTCTGTGATATAAACATCATTCACTTGTCGCAGAACCAGTGACATTTATGGAGGGGAAAAAAGGGTGAAATTCACCCCTGCACAGAGGGCTTGAAGGCTCTCATAAGACTAAGGGCATGTCTACACTACAGTCATAAACTGACCTATGTTAGTTGACCTACCCTCCTTCTGTAGGTGGTGCCGGGTCCTCACCAGGAGCACTTCCAAGGACTGAAGAGGGACAGCGTGGGAGGCTGAGAGCCCTCTGCACCGCTCCCTGTCTGGAGCCCAGCTGCCTCCCCCCTGGCTCTGGCCTCCTCCCTCCCAGTTGGGAGCCAGAGGCAGCTGTGCTCTAGCTGCCCAGCTTTCTTGTCAATTTCACGGCTCCCATGGAGCTGTGAAACTGACAAGACAGCTAACAGCCGATATAAGTAATGCAGTGTCTACACACAGACATAAGCCCTATGTCTCTCGTGGAGGTGGAGTTATTATGTCGCTATAGTAGGGCACTTACATTGGCAGGACAAGGCAGTAGTGTGTACACTGACATAATTAGGTCAATGTAAGCTGCCTTACGTCAACCTACTGTGTAATGTAGACGAGGCATAATGGTGTATTGTCCTTATGTGGGCTTTCTGCACAGGGTGAATTTCACACACAAATCACTTATCAGTTGAGCTGCTCACTGAAATGGTACAATTTTCATATTGCATTAACGATAGGGATTCAACCTTTCTGGAGAACTTCCTGTCCATGGACCTATTCCTGCTCCAATGGCAATGTCACTTCCTGCGAATGGAACCAAGGGAAAGAGTTTGGGATCTAGCTGATTTTTCTTTTGTTTAATTGGTATTATTGCATATTGTGATTCAACACATTGTTAGGGGTTTAGGGAATAGCATGGAAGTGACGGTGGCATTTTTAGATTGACTAGAGACATAAAATAATGAACTTATATACCACCACCAAAACATTTCAGGCCTTCTTCAGATATCTTAAAACAGCAAAAAGGGATAAATCCCAATCATTTTAATTTGCATATTACCTTTAAGAGTCATATATAATCTGACAAGGGACAATGTGTGTAATGGGAACAGGCTATGACTCCACAGTCTATAAAATACAATGGATAATCATTCTCTCAGCTACATTTTCTTTCAGTGTTTGAAATAAGGCAATGATTTCTCTGAAGTTCAGGCAGCAAGGTTACAAGTATTTTAGGGCCTATTCCTATATCCACTTTAATCAATTCCATTGACTTTGACGGGCATTAGTTCAGGACAATAGTAAAGTTTGTAGCAAAGGGATAGTGAGATTAAAATAGTCGGGAAATGCCACTGCAGACACAAGAAAAATGAGAGAAAGCATGCATACAGCCGGTGGAAGTTTTGCCTCATGAGATCTCTGTGAAATACTTTGTAAAATACAAGAAGTGATCATTGCTATATTTCTACATGCAAGATGTAACAAACATGACCCCCAAGTTCTGCAATTAAGAGAGAACAGAATTTGTAATATATGTTTAGCAAAGATTACCCAGACCACAAACACAAAATGAAGTTAGCTGTAAATAAGCTAGCAAGGAAATTATCAAATGAATGCTGAGAAAGGAAATTATCAACTGGGAATCATGTGTGCATTCACTCAGTAAATTATTATTTTAAATAGTGAGCCATTTTAAATCTAAGTATAAAACTGCATGGTTTCTGAAGTTAGTGAATTTACTGCTAACGTACATAGTGTTGAATGCTGTTACCTTGCTCCAAGATCCTGTTTTCCAGTTAGCACATGGACGGAGATGACATCTTCTTGCAGGGTCAGGTTTTTTAATGTGCTGACAGTCAGATTCATTCTTACTGTTACATTCCACATGTCTCCAAAAAGCCCCCACACCACAGGTGGTAGAACACTGCACAGTTGAGAGATGAAAGGTAGAAGTCAGTTGCAGATTAATAAATCATTTGATAACTATGAGAGCAGGAAATGAATGACACCAGAAGTTGCATGTGATTTGAAACGTCAGTCATAGTCACTGCAGAGAGCAATTAACAAAAGGTAATGCTCAGAGTTGGGCATGGACTGAAGTACCTGCTGCCCACCCATAAGTAGCATTAACTTTTCGGGCATGGTGAACAGTGCAGTGGTTTTCCAACTTTTTCATATTGCTTAACACAAAGATCCTCTTGTGGATGACTTTTTCATAGTCCTGATTCCATAACAATTGGCCTGTCTTGCAAAAGGTCAGGATATTCAGGAGGCAGATTTCAAGTTACAGAAGCTGCCTCAGTTAACATTAGGTGCAGTTCTTCTGCTTGGCTATGAAAATGAAAAGGAACAATCTTCTGATTTATAGCATGCACTATTCTTCTCTGGTAAACTTCTTCCACTTAATGAGCCATTCCAAATCTGTAAGGGCAGCCTAGCATTTCTTTTGTAATTATTCAGCCCTTCATTGGCCCTCCAACTTCTGTTTTTCTAGGGTCAGATGTCAACATGCCTACACTCCACTCTGTCTATTTCCCCTCTCTATTGCCAATACTGCTGGTGACTGAAGGAGATAATTAAGAATTAGAATTGATTGTCTGATGTTGAAAAATTTGTAACTACCGAATAACCAAACAGGAAGAGGAGGCTGATTATAAAGAAGACAAATTGCAATAGTGGCCAAAAATCTACATCATTTTGCATCTTTGGTGTCGTACATGGAATGAATTTGATCATCTCAGTCCAGTTTCCAGGGGACATGAGTCCACATCCTCCACCAAAAAGCCAAATTTTGCACCTTGCAGAGAGTTCCAAGACTGAGTTGACAGGAAGACAGAATTACTTGCTCACTGCTAAAAGTGCTCCCTCTACATCAAGGCTGAAGCACAATGGCAGGCCAACATGAGGAAGTTTCCATTGTCTCTGCCTGAACTGTACCTGATCCGTGCTAAAAACAGTCAGTGAGAGATGTGGCTTCAGCAATTTTTGTTCAGGCGCCTAAATCTTAATGTAGGTGACATACTTCAGGCACCATAGTTTGAAAATGTTAACATCAATTGATGCAAAAAAAAAAAATAAAAAATCCCCCGCTGAGGCCTGTTTCGGTTTACAAACAAGCCAAACATTATGGCAAAATGATGAAAAGGGGACTCAATAAAAGCACATAGCATTTATGTGGGATCTGGTTGCTTATATTCTCTTATTACATTTGCTTGAACATGGTGATTGCTCCTCAGCCCGGACTTCTTGGATAATTACTATCTTAGAACTCAGCAAGATGACTATGTTGAGACGTATTGGTTGAATAGAACAACTGACCTTAGGAATGGGGAAAGAAATCAACAGCAACATCAAAATAACATTGAAACGTTTCAGAGGCCATAGAAAATTGTGACTGACACTAGCTTTCTGCATTGCTGCTGTATTTTGTTTACATTTAAGTAGAATATTCAAACATGTTGGTCTGGTAGTACAATAAGCAGAAATTATCCATTAGTACTAAGCAGGCAGTAATGACCAGGACACTCAAAAACCTGAATGTCCATTCACAGAGGTGTGGCTCCTTATCTATTCTATTCAGCATGTGCAATCCTTGTGAAATGAGCAGTGGCTGTATAGAGTTATTCTATTACATTACAAGTCTCCGTGGTACAACATTTGGTCTCTGTACATTTTTTCTGACAAAGTGTGAAATATGGGCCAAGCATCTTCTAGTCTGAATGCCTTCAATTTGATGTTATTACTTTCTCAAAAGAGTTTTCAAACTCACTGTAAATCGTGACTGGTTTCATACAGTCATTCTAGACAATTTCACCTAAACCACAAAAGGACTGTTGGTAGACTCAAAAAGTGAGCCATCACTTTTTGTAACACTCAGATGACTATTACAGGATATTACACCCCCCTCCCTTTTAAAACTATTTAGAGATAAAATTCTTAGTTTTGGTGAAAGCCCTAATGCAGGTAAAAGACAACACTGACTCCTTTTTTCAGAGTGGTAGCCGTGTTAGTCGGTATCAGCAAAAACAACGAGGAGTCCTTGTGGCACCTTAGAGACTAACAAAGCTTTCGTGGGCTAAAACCCACTTCATCAGATGCATGGAGTGAAAAATGCAGTAAGCAGTATAAATATTACAGCATATGAAAAGATGGGAGTACCCTGTTGCCAACTCTGTCCGCATAGCTATTCAAGGGACACCATCATAGAACCTAATCACATCAGCCGCACCATCAGGGGCTCGTTCACCTGCACATCTACCAATGTGATATATGCCATCATGTGCCAGCAATGCCCCTCTGCCATGTACATTGGCCAAACCGGACAGTCTCTATGCAAAAGAATAAATGGACACAAATCAGACATCAAGAATTGTAACATTCAAAAACCAGTAGGAGAACACTTCAATCTCCCTGGACACTCAATAACAGACTTAAAAGTGGCAATTCTTCAACAAAAAAAGTCAAAAACAGACTTCAATGAGAAACTGCAGAACTGGAATTAATTTGCAAACTGGACACCATCAAATTAGGCCTGAATAAAGATTGGGAGTGGATGGGTCACTACAAAAAGTAATTTTCCCTCTGCTGATACTCACACCTTCTTGTCAACTGTTGGAAATGGGCGACATCCACCTTGATTGCATTGGTCTCGTTAGCACTACAAAAGTACTTTTCCCTCTCTTGATATTCACCCCTTCTTGCCAACTGTTGAGAATAGGCCACTTCCACCTTAATTGAATTGGCCTCGTTAGCACTGACCCCCCGCTTGGTAAGGCAACTCCCATCTTTTCATGTGTTGTAATATTTATACTGCTTGCTGTATCTTTCACTCCATGCATCTGATGAAGTGGGTTCTTGCCCACAAAAGCTTATGCCCAAATAAATTTGTTAGTCTCTAGGGTGTTAGGACTCCTCGTTGTTTTTACTGGCTCCTTTCTATCTGTGAAGATGAGGGTTAATAACAGGACAAATGGGTTAATGCCATAATTATGGCTGCCCTGTCACTCTTCCATGTCCAGAGGCAGGGTAATTGAATTTCTTACTCAGGTAGCTGGTCCGACACAACTATCTTCTATGATAAGCTGGCAAAATACAACCTCCCCCCTCAAAAAAACCCTTTTCTACTTCTATCCGGTTCCAAAATATGATAAACTAAAAATACTTCAACAGACAACAAAGAACTCCACATTGTTGTTCCCTGTATAGAAACTGTGGGCCAAGTTCTGTTACCAGTTAAACCAGTGTAAATATGGACCAGCTCACTGATGTTATGAATTTACAATCAGCATAACAAAGCAGGACATGGCTCAGAATCTGGATGCATCCTCAGTGGTGGATATGATTTCTGATGGTGAAATGCAATAACAACAATATCACAATAATCTACTGTGTCAACAGTTGACTGAAAAATGTGTTTGGGCAATCAGTGAATAAACTGTGCTTCATCCAATAATAGTTAAAATAGCTCTATGAACCTGGTCAGACAACGGGTTGGAAAACATAGAAATATTCAGGAAGAATACCTTTAATTTAATAGCATGGACTAAAATATTATGGCAAATCTACAGATAGATCACTATAAGTGTAAGAGACAGAAATACAAACAAGTCCCTTCAGTGGGGTGGCACTGGTTCATCAGACATTGAAATCTGATCATGTTTCTTCAATATTTCTTGGAAAACACTAATTTACTCACGATCCATCTAAAATCATATTTCCCTCCTCTCCCCCCGTGCTGAAAAAACAAAACTGTTCTGATATTTCTGGTTCTAATCAAACCAAAATCATACTCATGGGCGGCGTGTGAACCACCCATTGAGGAAGGCTAGCCCCCACCCCGCCTTCTGCCGGAGCCCTGAGCCCCCCACCGTGTCCAGAGGAGCCCTGCCTCAGTTACCCTGAGTCCTGGCCTGTCCAGGGCACCGGGCTGCCTGCCCTAGCCCCAGCGTTCCTAAGCCCCAGCCCTGGGGTGCTGCCCGCTTCGGGAAAGAGGATCAGCCTGAGCAGGGGCCACTGGGGAAGCGCGGGAGGCAAGAGGGGACCCCGGGGCAGAGTGTGGGCAGAGCCATGGCTGGCTGTTTGGGGAGGCTTAGCCTCCCCTGGCCTGCAGTACCCGCCGCCCATGGTCATACTAGAAATGTTATATTTTGGTTTGATTTACATCACAATTTTGTAGACTCAAGAGATGTGGATAAATTTCACATAAGCATCCCATTATTAGGTATGTATCCAATTGTCTAACCCAGTGGTGGGCAACCTGTGGCCCATGAGCTGCACATGGCCCGTCAGGGTAATCCGCTGGTGGGATGCAGGTTGCCCACCACTGGTCTAACCTAATTGCCAGAGGAATTCTATCTTATTTCAGCCACTCTTGTTTGGTTTTCCATCTTTTCTCATGGCATGGCTTATATTTTATTCAGATTTATGATGCATATTTCAGATAATTCTGAATTAAACCAAGAATCCATATATACTTGACCATTCTTCAGACTTTAAGGCCAGAAGGGACCACCATCATGATCATCTAGTCCAGGGGCGGGCAAACTTTTTGGACTGAGGGCCGCATCGGGTTTCGGAAATTGTATGAAGGGCCGGTTAGGGGAGGCTGTGCCCCCCCAGACAACCAGGTGTGGCCTGGCCCCCGCCCCCCTCCCCCCCCCCCTCCTGGCCCCCTGAACCCCCCCCCCCCCGGACCCCTGAATTATCCAACCCCCCCTTCTCCCTGACTGCCCCCGGAACCCCTGCCCCTGACTGCCCCCTGCAGGCCCATCCAACCCCGCCTCTCCTTCCTGACTGCTCCCCCCGGGACCCCTGCACCCATTCAACCCCCATGTTCCCCGCCCTCTGACCGCCCTGACCCCTATCCACACCCCTGTCCCCTGACCACCACCCCAAACTCCCCTGCCCTCTATCCAACCCCACCTGCTCCCTGCCCCCGTACCGCGCTGCCTGGAGCACCGGTGGTTGGCGGCGCTACAGCCGCACCGCCAGGCTGGAGTCAGCCACACCACCGCGCAGCACAGAGCACCAGGTCAGGCCAGGCTCTGCAGCTGCGCTGCCCGGCCACCCAGAGCATTGCGCTGGTGGCGCGGCGCGCTGAGGCTGCAGGGAAGGGGGAACAGCGGGGGAGGGGCCGGGGGTTAGCCTCCCAGGGCAGGAGCTCAGGGGCCGGGCAGGAGGGTCCCGCGGGCCAGATGTGACCCACGGGCCATAGTTTGCCCACGTCTAATCGAGTCTGACCTCCTGCACATCGCAGGCCACAGAGCCTCACCCATGCATCCTATAATAGACCCCAACCTCTGGCTGAGTTACTGAAGACCTCAAATCTTAATTTAAAGACTTCAAGTTACAGAGAATCTGCCATGTACTCTAGTTCAAACCAGCGAGTGAACCATGCCCCAGGCTGCAAGGGAAGGTGAAAAACCCCCAGGGTCTCTGCCAATCTGATCTGGGGGAAAATTCCTTTCTGACCCCAAATATGGTGATTAGTTAGACCCTGAGCATGTGGGTAGACCTACCAGCCAGACAGCCGGGAAAGAGCCCTCCCCATCTAGTGTCCCGTCTCTAGTTATTGGAGATATTTGCTAATAGCAGTTACCTATGGGCCATATGCCATTGTAGATAACCTCATCATACCATCCTCTCAATAAACTTATCAAGTCCTCAACAAATTAGTTTTTTTGCCCCCACTACTCCCCTTGGGAGGCTGTTCCAGACCTTTATTCATCTGATGGTTCAAAACCTTCAACTAATTTCAAGCCTAAAGGTATTGATGGCCAGTTTATATCCATTTGTTCTTATGCCAGCACTAGGCCTTAACTTATATAACTACGCTCCCTCCCTAGTGTTTATCCTTCTGATGTATTTATAGAGACCAACCATATCTCCCCTCATCCTTCATTTGGTTAGGCTAAACAAGCCAAGCTCCTTAAGTCTTCTCTCATAAGGTAGGTTGTCCAGTCATCTGATCATCCTAGTAGTCCTTCTCTGCATCTGTTCCAGTTTGAATTCATCTTTCTTAAACATGGGAGACCAGAATTGCACACAGCATCAGATCAATGAGTTAAGTCTCCACATCTTACAAGTTACAAATCACTTACCTCACTCCAGTTCCCCACTATCCAGTACACATCACCATGCAAAATATTGGAGATTCTTGCATAGTCCCATTCTGTGGCATTGGGTAATTTTCCCTCAGAAACTGTATTGTGGTTCTTTGGAGAATCTTCACGACTTGGAGATTTTGTGCTTTGGGTATAATCTATCTTGTCAGAGGGTTCCATTTCTGTTCCATTTTCAAACTGGGTTCTTGATACGTTATCTAACATTGCTGGCTTTATTGTAACCGGTCCTTTTGTGGTGGCCTTTTCTATGACAGGTGTATCTATTTGCACACTGATACTTTTTAGGTTCACTGTTGTTGAAGGTGACAGTCTTTCTGCTGCTGTGCTACTAGTAGACTGTGTAGAAGATTCATGTTGATAAAATGTTGGTGAGATTTTGGGAGTAGTAATGACATGAGACCTGATGTTTGGAGTTTTGCTCCTGGTTTTGATTGCAGGGCTGCTTTTGGCTTTGTAAGAGACGTCAGTAGGTTTTTCATTGCCTTCTATGGACCAATCAGTATTGTCAGACTCTTCAGTTAAATAATCATAGCCTGGAGTTACTTCTGGATTTCTGGTTAATGAGGTGGTGCGACTAGCCCCTCCTATCTGAACAAGGCCCCCTTCTGAAGCAGAGTCCGGATCTATGTTAGAGACATTTTGGACATTTCTTATATTTTCAATACTTGAACTATTACTTACAGTACTATCTTGGTGTGACCTGTTTCCATTTAACACAAAGGGATAATTATAATCATTATTTGAGCTGGTAGAATTATTTTGTAATGTTCTTTTTTCCATGTTGTCCTTTTTGGAAGAGTGGACAGGACTGGAGGAAGTAGAGCCCAAAGCAGTTGTGCTTTGGGACTCGGGTATTTTTGTCGTTGTCTGGTATCTTTGGCCTAGTTTAGGGATGGGTATTCTGCTTGATGGGCCTCTTTTGGGATTAATTGCTGTCTTCCTGATTATGATCTTTCCTCTGTTTGGTTTCAGTGGGGGTATCAATAGTCGTCTGGTGGAAGGACACTGCTGGAGGCCACATAGAGCCTTAGAATTTGGTCTCTTGAACATATCACACGGTTCATCATTGTTTTTAGCACAACTGATTTTACGAGTCCGTATCCCACCGCCACACGTAACTGTGCACTGCAAAATAAATAGTCAATTTTCAGTCCCTAGCTCTTGATTCTCCTCCACATATTCATACACATCATTACCAAATGTGCATCTATCTATAAAAATCAATGTTCTTATCAAAATCAACAACAAAATTTCCACCTAGAATCAAGCATTTTGATTTTTCCTAGGGGGGAGTTCTTCACGGAAGGGAGATTTGTAATACTTTCCCACATACTGTACATAGTGAATGTCACCCAAGGTGGACATAAATGATACAGATTAAATGATAAAGTTAGCATCTCAAAGTGGGATCATTCCATTGAACAGAGCGTCTTAGAGCACATTATTTTCAAGTCCTGTTTGCACAATCCCCACATGAAGTTTAAGAAATGTCAAAGACTTAAAAGGCCACCACCCAAAACATCCTTGGCCTGATCAATTTTGGTTGCTCTGAGTCTCCCAGAGCTGCATTTTCATGTAATGCCCTTCAGCCTCCTCCAACTCCAGAAGCTAACCTGTGTTTCAAACTCCCCTACATACTCTTTGCTTCAGTTGCTGTCAGTCAGCATATTTTGTAAAGGTTCTGTCCAGGGGTGAAAGTAACTTAAAGGACTTACCAGTACGCCGGAGTCCTGAGCAGGGCGTGGCCTCAACTGGAAGAGGCGGGGTCTCAACCGGAAGAGGCGGGACCTTTCAAGATTTAAAGGCCCTGGGGCTCCGGCTGTGACTGGAAGCTCCAGGGTCTTCAAATCACCCCAGAGCTACCAGCTGCAGAGGTGGCTGGGAGCCCCGGGGCTCAGGGGCGAATTAAAGGGCCCTGGGCTCTGGCCGCCGCGGAACTCCGGGCCTTTTAAATTACCACGGTAGCCCTACCGCTGCTACACCGGGGCAGCAGGGCTCGGGCTAGGGCTGGGGTAGCGGCGGCAGGGCTCCGGCGGTGCTTTAAAGGGCCCGGGGCTCCGGCCGCTGCAGGGAGCCCCAGGCCCTTTAAAGCGCCGCTGGACTCCGGCAGCGGGGCTCGGGCGGCGCTTTAAAGGGCCCGCGTCTCCCCGCAGGGGCCGGAGCTCTGGGACCTTTAAATCCCAGCCCAAGCCCGGCTGCCGGAGCTTCGGCGGTGATTTAAAGGGCCCAGGGCTCCCCGCAGTGGCTGGAGCCCTGGGCCCTTTAAATCACCACTGGAGAAGCCAGTCCAGTCCGGCACGGCGTACCGGCTTTTGCCGGTACGCCATACCGGACCGTACCAGCTTACTTTCACCTCTGGTTCTGCCTAAGTCCCTACCTTATTCTTAGTTTCCTAGATTCTTCTGCTCCCTTCCACTCTATGAGGGGAACCAGAAGGGGAAGGAGGAGTGTGAAGAGTTCCCTAAAACCTGCTGAATAGGAAATGGAGCCAAAACTGAATTCTCTCAATTTGCCAATAAATGCCCCACTAGTGTGCTGAGCTAGCCCTCTTGTTCTGTTTTCTGTAGCACGGATTCATGAAGATGGATGCCAAATTAATGGAATTGCATGAATCCTTTGTTAATACTTTATAAGGAAGCTTGTGTAGGTTGTAACTTATTTTATCAGTCCAATATGCCAATTGAAGGGCACACTCTATGGCCTAGTACAGAAAGATCTGTGGAAAGGCCATGGGCCTGCCTCCTCTTTGACCCTCCCAATCCCTTGGGTTTTCTGTGCCATTCCATCCAGCAGACTACATGGGGAGCAGTCACTGTGTTTTAATGACTTCAAGGTCTGCAGTTGTGCCTGGTCCTTATGCAAATGGAGAAGAATGCTTCTTCTACCTTCCTCCCACACCCACAGGCACAATATAGTCCTCAGTGGCTGTATCTATGCTGAGATTTTTCTGAAATTTCCCCACATTTCTCTAGCTCTACAGGTACTAGCAATGGTACTAGTGAAGACTGATAGTTGGCACTTTAGCCACTGGTTCATCTAACCCTGCTCAAAGCAGGTCTAGGTGGCATGATGGTAGAAACACTAGTGGCCAGGTTACAGAATCATAGAAATGTAGAACTGGAAGGCACCTTGAAAAGTCATCAAGTCCAGCCCCGTGCGCTAAGGGAAGAACAAGTAAAACTAGACCAACTCTGACAGGTGTTTGTCTAACCTGTCCTTAAAAACCTCCAGTGATGGGGACCTAACAATCTCCCTAGGTAACCTATTCCAGAGCTTAACTACCCTTATAGGTAGAAGATTTTTCCTAATAACTAACCTAAGTATCGCTTGCAGCAGTTTAAGCCCATTGCTTCTTATCCTACCTTCAGTGGACATGGAGAACAATTGATCAGTATCCTCTTTATAACAGCCCTTAGCATATTTGAAGACTGTTATCAAGTCCCCCGCAAGTCTTCTCAAGACTAAACATGCCCAGATTTTTTAACCTTTCCTTATAGTTCAGCTTTTCTAAACTTTTTATCATTTTTGTTGTTCTCCTCTGGACACTCTCCAATTTCTCCACATCTTTCCTAAAGTGTGGCACCCAGAATTGGATGCTATACTCCAGCTGAGGCCTCACCAGTGCAGACGAGAGCAGGACAATTTCTTCCTTCATTTTACATATGACACACCTGTTAATATACTCCGGAATTATATTAGCCTTTTTGGCAACTGCATCACATTGTTGACTCATTCAATTGGTGATCCACTATAACCCCCAGATCTTTTTCAGTAGGACTACCACCTAACCAGTTATTCCTCATTTTGTAGTTGTGCCTTTGATTTTTCCTTCCTACATGACATTCTCATAGGCAAACTAGGGAAAGGTGGCCTAGATGAAATTACTATAAGATGGGTGCAATTCTGGTTGAAAGACTGTACACAAATTTTATAAGCATATTCTTCACTCTATTATCCAAGTCATTAATGAAAATATTGACTAGTACCAGTCCCAGGACTGACCTCGGCAGGACCCGACTAGATACGCCCTTGACAGCAAACTCTTGATAACTAGTAGCATTTTGGAGGATAGGATTAGAATAGATAACTACTCTTTGAGTAGTCTTTCAACCATTTGTACACCCATCTTATAGTCATTTCATCTGAGACCTACCGACTTGAATACATCTAACTTATCTAAATATTATTTTAAAATGTTCTTTCCCTATTTTGGCTTGCATTTCTTCCCCCTTGTTGTTAATATAAATTGTGTTGAGTATCTGGTCAACTTTTACCTTTTTAGTGAAGACTAAAGCAAAATAAACATTAATACCTCAGCCTTTTTGATGCCATCCTTTATTAGTTCTTCTTCCTCACTATGTAGCCATATGGGCCTCTTACTATTCTTCCTAAGATTCCTTCACATGAGGTAGTTTGCAGTTATGCCTTTAATATTGTCTCCTTGAGAAACTGCCTGCTTTCCTGAACAAATTTAATCCTTAGATTTTTCTTTCTGTGGGACATCACCTTCCAGTTCTCTGATTTTGTTATTCTGCTTTTCTGAAATCCATTGTCCTTATTCTGCTGCTCTCACTTCTTCCTTTCCTTAGAATCATAAAATCTATTAATTCATGATCATTTTTGACCAAATTGTCTTGCACCTTCAGATTCACAACCAATTCCTCCCTGTTTGTCAGAATCAAACCTAAAATGGCAAGCCCTCTACTTACTTCATTCCCTTTTTTAAACTAAAAGGTTGTCCACAATAAATTCCAATAGTTTAATGGAAATTTTGTGTTTTGTCATATTATTTTTCCAACAGATGTCTGGGTAGTAAAAAGCACCCATTACTCCTTGATCTTGTGTTTTGGATATTTCTGTTATATGTTCTAGAAATGCCTCAGCCATCTCTTCTTCCTGATTTGGTGGTCTATAGTAGACCCCTACCATGATGTCACCCCTATTTTCCTCCCTTCTATCTTTTCCCAGAGACTTTCAATTGGTCTGCCTCTCACCTCCTTCCAGACCTCAGAACCTGCATATACATTCTTGATGTATAATGCTACACCTCCCTTTTTTTCCTGCCTGTCCTTCCTGAACAAGCTATACCCCTCTACACCAATAGAGCCATAATTTAGCTTATGTACTACTACTTCCACTTCTTCCTGTTTATTACCGACACTCCTTGCATTTGTATACAGACATCTAAGATGTTGAGCAGATTCCCCCACTCTATACAATCATTATCCCCACTGCTAGCATGTGCTGAGCTGTACCATTACTGGAACTTTGGTGGGAGAATTTCCAAAAATCCTGAGTAAATAAGGCCAGTGAGCTTGATAAATGTCTACATATTTTCTCTGTAGATCACAGCTGCAACAATACATTTAATCTATGGCTCTGTCTTTAAAGAACTTTGAAGATTACATGTGGGACCAGATCCTGAGCTATGCTCGTTTGCTTCTGTTGAGGTTCTGTCCTTTTGAATTAATTTAAATGGCTAGCACAAGATTTTGATTAAGGATGAAGATGACAACTATTGACATTTTTCAGAGTAGCAGCCGTGTTAGTCTGTATCCGCAAAACTAACTATTGACATTGTATTTGTTGCTTCTGAAGAAACTAACCAGTCTCATTCTAGTTTTCTTGCACTTTATTGCCAGTCTGACCCAGACATTTTGGCTGTGATTTTCAAAATTTCAGATTATTTGGATCCTAATTCCTATTAGTTTTAATGGGAATTGGACATTCCAAATTCAATTATTTTAATGGGAAATGGGACTTAATATCCCATAAATGGCTTTGAAGATCTTGCCCTTAAACTGTGGTTGACACTCAAAAAGATTTTAGAATGACACGGTAGCTGTCCATATTTGTGTGTGCATCTTTGAATGATCTAGTCCTGTATTAAAATTAAAGTGCTCCCATTGATTTTAGTAGGATAAGAAGGTGTTGAACACCTTGCAGGATCAGGGTTGTGGATCTGAAGAGTTCTAAGGAGTGTGAAGTCCTTCTAGAGATAAAAGGCTGTAATAATGTAGATATCAAATGAGTTTAATGGAGTCACACACAGAAGTTATGCTCTACTATTTTAAAACAAATTTGATATAGCAATATTTTGATGACCTCATTCTGTAGGTCACTGGCTGCCACTAAAATAACTGTACATTATTTACTGACCACTTCAAGGATGTGCAGACAGTCTGGAGTTCTGACAGACAATTGTAGTCAAGGGAGACATAGCAAGGTCAAATGTTGCAATACAGGAGATACAGTTTACAAAGTAGAATGAGGGCTTTAGAGCTCCGTGTGCCAATATAAAATGCTACAAAATCTCCCAGATCTCTTCCATAGCAGTGCTGATATCTGGACTCCGAAAGGCTTGAATATGCAGGCGCTTGGAAGGCTTTTGCTACTTAGCTAATCAATATTTGTTAAACGTGGTAAATATGAAAAGCACTATGTAAATGCTAAAGTTGAAATAGAAAAAAGCCTCCAAGTTAAGAACTGGATTTGGATAGAAAGTTTGGCATGTCTGTATCAAGTATTTGGTCAGGCTCATTTTTGGAGGTATTGTTATTGTTGTTATGGCTGATGTTACCATGTAGCTCTTTTACACATAGTGTATGTCTACACTGCAATTAGACACTTGTGGCTGGCCTTGGACTCATGGGACTTGGGCTGTGGGGCTGTTTAATTGCAGTGTAGACATCTGAGCTTGAGATGCAGCCCAGGCTCTGAGACCTTGTGAGGTGGGAGGTCCCACCCAACCTTGGAAGTCTACACAAGAGTTAAAGAGACCCACAGCCCAAGCCTGAGTCAGCTAGCCCAGGCCAGCCGTGCATTTTTAATTGCAGTATAGACTTACTCATAGTCTTCAAGTTCTTTTTCCTAACATGTGAGTAAATGTTCAGTCTTGGGAGGGCATGCTGTGGTGTTCGGTTTTTCAATGCAAGATTCTGTGGAGAGGCAGTAGTCTTTGGAGAGAGGGATCTGAGAGAGTAATGGGAGTGTTGGTCTCCAATTGCCTCAAGAATTGTGTCTATAGTTGCTCTCTGGGAATGAGGCATTGGCACTGGGCTGAGATTCTGGGAAGAAGAGAATGCTGTATGCTGTGTGACCATCTCTGTTCCAGGACTGGTGCATGTGTATAAGTAAAGGAAGTTACATATAGAATATACCCAGACTCTGCATCACTGATTTTGCCTTCACTCAGAAGCCAGCCTGCAAGACCCTAGAGATTTCTGCTACTGCTCAGCACAGGGTGATGCTAGTGTCTGAATGGCAACCTGGTGTCAGAAGAAGGGGCATCATTATCATTGCTTTTATCCATCACTCCTTTATTGTAGAGAAGGGCCTGAAACAAATATCCAGAATGACTCTGGAAATAGCTTTGTATCTTTTTGCAGAACCAACCCCCCATCTTACTACTTCCAAACTTGAAATTCAAATTCCAAATCTTTTGCCATTATAAAAATGTTCAGATTTTGAGTTAGGATTTGGCCTATTGTAGATTTCAACTCAGAACTAGTAATTGAACCTGGATATAGACCAGGGCTTTGGTTTAGGTATATAGCTGGTTATATAGGTTCATTATCAATTCTGGAGAGATGGGAGCACTGGTAACTTGTTTCTCTTTCTTACATCTCCCCATGATTCCTTCTGAAGAGACTTTCCACCTTGAAATTTGAAGTCGGGTGGAGACAGAACAGAAGCGTTAGTTCTTTTGACTGCCATGTGTTTACCTCAGTCCAGTTGCTCACTGTCCAGTCAGATGGGCATAGAACATCTCTGTTGCATGAAAGGTGGGTCTTTGGTTTAAGCAGATGCTGGCAGTCTTTAGCAGCCAATGCCTGCTCATCAGATCCCACTGTTTGGATGCAAAGGACAGTTCGTTTCTTCTCTCCTGTTGGGCCACAGGTGGTTGAACACTTCTGCCATTCTCCTGCCCACCACCTGTAATCCAAGTCAAAGGGAATGCAGAACATCAGAAGGACAAAAACCATTAATCCACTGCAGGCACGCTAGATAAAGGTAGCTTTGGGGAGGCTCAGACAATACAGAAGAAGTAACATAATGAAGAATTCTGGGCTTGTATTTAAGTTCTTCATAGAAAATATTAAGCACCTTAAGCAACTTTCCCCCTCCATTCTGTGCCAAGTATCTGATGGGCAGTTCAGACACTGATCTTGTATCAGCAGTAGACGCTGAAGATTATATTTCTAGAATACCTAAGAATATAAGCCATATTGAGGGGATTCTTCCAAGCCTAACTATGACTGATATCTGTGCTGTTCAGGAAGTTTTGTATTTTATTTATTCATTCCTATTGTTCACTTGCTCATTGTTTATTCATTCCTATTGTTCACTTGCTCATTATGATCTTACTGAAAGTAAATGAGAACAAATGACTAGGTCCATGGTTATGCCAATAATTAGAAGTGGAAGAGACTGTACAGGTCATCTCATTTGTTCCTCTGTCAATAAAGGATTGTTCACTATAGCACATTTTCCTGTGCTTTGTCTAGTTTTAAATGACAGCATCCACTGCTTCCTTTAGGGCAATATTTCACATTGTAATAGACCTCACAATTAGATTTTTCTTTAGAGTCACCCTGCTTTAGCTTTTCCTTAATTTCATCCAATTATTTCCTGTTATGTTTTCTGAGGCTACTCTATACAATCAGATACCTGCATGGCTGGCTTGCATCAGAAGAAAGGAGGGCAAAGGCCATCTGAGAAGCACTGACATTTTGTGATTCATCTTGAAATATTTTTATTAGGTTTTGCAAAGCCTATCTAATGAGCTCTGGGTGGCCTTACCATTTGCAGGGACCCAGGCAAGAAGGGGGCCACAAGTTGCTGAAATGGAAGTTTGGCCCAGCTGTGAACTACAAGTCCATGAAGGCATCATAAACAATGACATGCGCTCCCTGAGCTCCAGGCATGCCCTATGAAACCTCACACTGGCAACTAAACAGATGCTTGCAAAGTCACAGAGACTGATTCAGCGGTGTAAGTAGGTGCAACTCTACTGGAGTGAGTAGACTTCAATGAGCCCTGATTTTGACCTAACATCTATACCATTTGTTAGATTTCTTTCTTCTTAGTAATAGTTTCATAGTAAGACAATTACACCATTTTTCTACAATTGTCCTTTAGCTTACAGACATAGTAGGTCCCATATCTTCTTCTGGGTCTCTTTCCCTGACTATATGAATTGCCACTATCAATGCCAATGAATAGTTACTGGGCCAGGGAAAGAGAAAGTGAGAATGGCTCTATAACCTGATGGTTAGAGTGCTCAACTAGGATAGGGGAGACCCAAGTACAATCCCTGCTCCAATGACTATTTAATTACTTATATATGGTGGAACACACTCAACAGAGATATTGAGAGAGTCCCACACCAGGCTATAGCCCCAGAGCCCAGTAACTAGGGTGCTCTCCTGCAGCGTAGGAGACTGAAATTCAAATCCTTTCTCCACATCAGGCAGAGGAGGGAACTGAACCCAGATCTCCCACACCCCAGGTGAGTGCCTGGGATTCAAGGTTGTAAGAAAGGCATAAAACATTTTGTATCAACATTACCAAACATTTTGATTTTTCTGTTTGGTTGAAACTATTCAGCAAATTCAACATTGCAGAAATTTGTGAATAGGTTTGGATTGACCAGAACTTCATTTTTTGATGAATCAACTATTCACTGGGGAAAAAATCGCCCAGCTCTAGCCATCACATTACAATATCTTCTTTCTTCACCCTAGACTTCCCTTTCTGATTGTTTGCTTTCTGAATCAAATTAAAAGCTAAAATAAAATAAAAGTATAGCTCAGAACATGAACCAAGGTGTCAAATTTTGTTCTAGATCATACCGATTTATATCTAGAGTAATTCCAATGAAGTTAATACACTTGGAGTTACACTGGTTTAATCAAGAAATTGACCTATTACTTGTTAAACTTACAGTACTACACAAGAAATGCTAGGAAAGAAATAAGGGCTTATTATCCTAGCATTTCCTGGTTTATCATCTATCTGATTTTAAGACATGATCAGGTATATTTAAGGACTAACACAATTCCAAAATCTGTAGGATTCATTGATCTGTAGGGTTGTGAGGAATTCTGCAGGCTTTGGAGGTGATACAGGTGTGCAATGCTGCCTGCATTTCAAAATAGCCATGTCCTCAGTCCCCAAAATAGCCAAGACAGACTCAACAAGGAGGGTTAAGCTCTGGCTACCTCTGTGGGAGCTCTCATTGACCCTCTGGGTAAAATGTAAAGGTTTCAAACTCATAGATGCAACTCCATTGGCTTCAGTGGATGAGCACATGCTAATACAAGGTCTGAATTTTCAGTAAGAGTGCATTATAGCCAGAAAGAAACATGCCTCGCTCATAGGAGATGGAGTCCAAATGTACACTGAAATCTTTTTTTGGGCATAAGCTTTTGTGGGCTAAAATCCACTTCATCAGATGCATGCAGTGGAAAATACGGTAGGAAGATATATATATATACACACAGAGAACATGAAAAAATGGGGGTAGCCATACCAACTCTTACGAGACTAATCAATTAAGGTGGGCTATTATCAGCAGGAGAAAAAAAACCTTTTGTAGTGATAATCAGGATGGCCCATTTCAAACAGTTGACAAGAAGGTGTGAGTAACAGTAGCGGGAAAATTAGCGTGTGGAAATAGTTTTTAGTTTGTGTAATGACCCATCCACTCCCAGTCTTTATTCAAGCCTAATTTAATGGTGTCCAGTTTGCAAATTAATTCCAGTTCTTCAGTTTCTCACTGACAACCGCATTTGCTCCAATCCCTCAGACAGAGACAACCACATACAAGATCTCTATCAAGCATTCTTAAAACTACAATACCCACCTGCTGAAGTGAAGAAACAGATTGACAGAGCCAGAAGAGTACCCAGAGGCCAGAGCCCACTCAATTGCTTTGCCTCCCTACCCTGACTGGGCCTGGGGGCTCACAGACTGCCGTCCTGTTCTGCCCGGCCAGACGACCGGAGCACTAGGTGAAGCTAGTTCCCCGCTTTGAGCACCTTTACAGGTACATGACAGCAAAGAGGCGTGGCCTCCCTCAGAGACTGACAGAGGGGGATGGCCACCCAACCTACAACTGAAAAGGCAAAACTACTTAAATGAAGTTTAAAAGTACTTTAAACAAGATCATTAGGTGTACTTGAATAGCTCCCTGTGTTTTAAGAAAAATTTCCCACAATCCACTTTTAATCTTGTTTCTCAACAAAAACAAAACAAAATAAAACCAAGCACCTCCACTCAAAAAAACCTCCCCCCACTAAACCTTGGCTGCTTCATATGAACAAAGAATTAATATTTTGAATTCTAGTGTACGATATGAAACAGAACCAATGCTTACTATACTAATTGAATTACTGTGTACTACCTTTGATATTTTCTGTATACACTGCTGACTGGATTAAATGTTATTCTGAAAGCACTTCAATTCATGCTGACTGAACATCTGACTTATTCAATTACCTGATCAGGGGATTTCAGCTGTGTCACCAAAAAGCGATAATGTGCCTCTTTGCTGTCACTTCTTACCATTTCCTCTGTTAGTCACAGGGCAAATATTTGTATCAGTTCATTACCTCTGGGAAGCTAGCTATTATTTTCTACATGACTGTGGGCAAAATATTGCTTACTACAAAAGCAGAGTAATGGTAAAATAAATATTCCCATGTTAATAAATACATAATAAATTATTATTGTGTCAGGTTTCATTCTTTTTCTGCCATGTATCCTATTCTGCAATACATCCCTCTTTGTGCTTCTTACCTCCCCCATCCTAATCTTTTTCTCTAATTTGGCTCCTCAGTTTCTACTCCCATCCTCTGTCCCCTGGTAGTTTCACTCAACTGCAAAAGGGTTCTCACTGATATGAGGGTTGCTGACAGCAATTTATTTATAATCATACAATTAAAAAAAGACACTGAGCCATCAAGCTGTGCACACTTCTAATTTGTGTAACCATCTGTTCTCATCACTGGTCCTCCTTATGTTCCCTTTCCCATTCCCGTCTATTGTTTGGTGCATTTTCTCTTAAATTAGATAGAAAGGCTTTGGGGGCAGGGACTCTTTTCCTACTTGTTTGTACAGTACACTGGGACCCCAATCCTGACCGAGGCCCTGGATCTTACCACTTGTGTGCTCCTGCATCTTGTCTCTAAGAGTTTCATTTCCCCTCCATGCAGGTACAAACAGCAAAGTGAAATTGACAAGTTGTTGAGAAGACACTGCCAAATCTTCTCAGTGGAGCGCAGCAGTAAAGAAAAATACTGAATCAATTCACTTTGTGTGATGCTCTCACCTTCCAGATCTTCTTTCCAGCTCTTTTTTTTGTAACCTCTACTGTTCTGTAAGGCCCTGATCCAGTGTTGTATCCACCAAGCAAAGTATTAACAACTTCAACAGAACTTTATTTACAGTGGAAGTTTCAGACTCCCAACAGCCAGTGCTCCCAGTTCTAATAATCACATGCAGCATCTAAACACCACATCCAGCTAGGCACTTCAGCACCTGTGCAACCTCAAGCATGTGAATAGTCCTATTTACTTTAATGGAACATCTTGTATGCTTCACGTTACATATGTGAAGTGCTGAGTGCTCTTCATTCCCACAGACCTCAGCAGTATTCAGCACCTTGAGGGAGTGCTTAGCAGCTTGCAGGATGAAGCCCTAAATTCTTAGTCTCCATCTTTCCCTTCTCACATACACACATTCTATCGCTGATACTTTTTCTTTACTGGGTGGCTCTTGCCAACTCAGGCGATCAGCTTTCAATATAAAGCAAAAAACATTGCCCATATTCCATAAACTGATACATTGTCAAAGGACATAGCTAGACCAGGACTAGTAACATGTAAGTAATAAATTGTTACACACAAAAAGCTAGGTTAAAAGAACATTAC